GCACATATTCATAGAGTGACACCTACACCTCCTTTTTAAATTGCTATTTTTGCGTCAAAACTTTAAAAATTCATATCTCCTAAACCATTTGAGCTACAGAGCCCAGATTTGGAGTGGGTTCATATTTCATGGATACCTTTAATTTTCGAGAGTAAAAATAAAATCCGAAATAAGACCCGAAATCTTCACTGTTATACTGCAATAAAATGGAGTGCAGAGAATACATGTAAAGTTGGTATAATATATGATTGTCTCGCTATAAATGTCATTGTAATTATTCACCTGGGTGCTAGACACAAATTCCACACTGCCTCAGGAAGCCGACGATTGCCTGTCGACACACAACGCGCATCACTATGACGACATGCGTCCATTGCCACTCAGGAATACACTAGAAAAAACATAAAAGGCATGGAAATGCGCGAGGTGACAAAAACCACCAACAACCATCACTTTTCCCGCTACAAACACGCGAGGTCACATATACCACCAACAACCATGCGATAAACTACCAAATACAACCACCAAGTCGTGTGGGGAGGGAAAAATGCAGCGAATCAGATGGAATTCTGGCCGTGGTGGGATTTGCGATGCACCTGGTGGGATTTGCGAACCACTTGGTGGGAAAAGCGCACATTCTCAATTCGGACGACCTGCACTTTTAAGCGTGCTGTTCGCTTTCTTCCTATTACATTCCACACCCCTCTCTCGCTCTCTCGCCCCGCGCATCGCCCGTTGCCCCGCTCGCGATCTCTTTTTATGGTTGACCGCATAAATCGCTCGTCATCTCAAGTCACGCCGGTCACGCGCCTGCGTTGTGACGAGGAAACGGGTCGATTGACGGGCTATCGCGCCTTATGGCTATCGTCGGCATTCCTCTACTCCCTGGGCAAATGTGCGTATGAGAGGGAGGGAGAGAGAGAGAGCGAGAGATTTGTGGCGTGAGCTGGAAGGAGAGAGCAGATCTGTACAAGGGCGACTCACGTGTCACTCAAATGTCACTCCTTGGTCACCGCACGGGAAACACGGCATCCTGGTTTTTAAGCGGTTTTGGAAAAGCCAAGACGCCCTATGGAAGAAAATGCATGGGAACATCCTGGTTTTTCCAAAACTGTTTAAAAATTGGGACATCGCTATTAACGTGCGGTGTTCGAGCTCTCTCGTTTACCGGAAAAAAGACTTTATTGTGGTGATCACGCCTGACTGCGTGACCCGAGAAATGGGTGGCTCCAGTTCGCTATGAACAAGCAGTCGTTAAAACCCTCGTTGAAGTTGAACCTCTGTTCGAGGACTAAATTCGATATCTGAAATCGGGAATCCGATGCCCACTTAGTCAGTTGTCACGACCAGGACACTAAGTCGGGGATTTGCTCTATTCGTACAAATAAGTGTCCGAGTCTCCCTTTTCTCCGCGCTGTCGCGGGAGCTCTGTCGCGGACCTGAGGGGAGGGAAGCGCCCGGCAGGTAGCCTGGCCCGTGAGCCAGCTGTGCGCGGCGGGCGTGCCGATGCACCGGTTGCCAGGCGCCCTCCTGCTGGAGCCAGGAGGGCAGGGAGGGCTACAAGCTGGAATGGAGCGTGCGCAGATGTATGTACATCTTTTGATCCCAACAGAAGGAGCGTAACTTTTAGAGTCCGTTCCAAAGTTGCATGCGCCATCGGCATCGGTCAGAATACTTTGAGTGCGGTACGCGAGTGGTTTGATTTTCCATACACGCTCAGCGCTCCAGGGGCTCTTGCCAACAAAGGGAAATGTCAATGTGCGAAATACTGTCAACGAGGCGAATAGGGGTGCATCCAACTTCTAACTTTGAAATCGACTTTATTTTGTGCTGCGAATAAGGTCCAAGTGCTGAGCTTATGCCGTTCTAGGCGCGTTCTCTATTAGACGGGCAATTGAAAAGAACCGGAAAGGGAGGGGGCGGGGATACTCTCACATTCCGTTGTGTTGTCAAATTGAAAACACGAAAGAGTGGGCAACGCTACGTATTATTGTCTTTTCTGCGTCACAAGTTTTATTTTCTCACGACTTTACCTTGGCATATTTCGTTCACTGTTAACGCCGTGGTCGTCTAGCTTGCCAAAATTTTGACAGTCCTTTTTGATTGCCGAATTTTGGCTTCGTTTTTAAAGCAGGCTAACTTTTGGCAAGCAAGGAGGCTAAAAATTGTCAGCCCCCAAAAAGACGACCAAAATTTGGCATGCAAGGAGGCCAAAAATTGGCAGCCTCCAAAAGACGTCCAAAATTTGGCAATGAGAAAGGACTGCCAACATTTTGGCAAGCTAGGCGACCACGGCC